CTCAGCTTGTGGTCAGGAGCTGCTGATGCTCTTGTTCCCTCTCCATCTCTCCATCTTGGTCAAGTCTCACAGCCTGGTGTCTTCCTGGTTCACACAGTTCCTCACCATGTGGATCCACACTGCATCAGACACAACCCAGTCCAGAGAGGAATCACAGGTGGAGTTGCTGCAGCGATCTGACTTGTTTCACTGAGCTCGTGTGTTCTGTGCAGTCTGTCTGTGGCATGGTTCCTGGTCCAGTTACCTTCTGACCTACTGACCCTGGCTCCTGTCACTCTCCAGCCGCCCACCAGGTGTCCCCAGATGTTCGTCCCTGTCCCAGCCCACTCACTCCCAGAGCCACCTACACACTTGTTCCCACTTGTCTCATCAGTCCTTTGCTGCAGCCGCCTTCGCTTTTACTGGACTCTTACTTTTGCTTGGCCCTCCTGGTGATATTTGACCAGCCCACCTGCTTCTAAGCTTTTGTGTCATTATCCTTTCCTCCATTAAAGAAACTTCACCGTATTTGCCTTCCTGTGTTTCTGTTAAAGTTAATAATTACATCATACCTGTGGAATTGCACTGGGGTGTATTGTATGTGTGTTTCAAATCTGACCAACGGGCAACTCGGGGTCCATGTCGGGAGTCTGACACCCTTCAGCCGTGGGTAAGAACCAGAAAGTCATGAGTACATCTAGCCGAGCACTCCTACTCGGTTTTGACACTGTTTGTAAAGTGTGACAGCAGCGACCGTACAGAACGTACTGCTTGTACTTCACTGATGAGTCGTCTTCTTCTCCTCTGTAGAACAGGGCTGAAGTCCTACTCCTCCTCCTGTGTTAACGTGAGTCAGATATCTGTCAGAGTTGGTTTTAAGGATGAGTTGCCGTCTCTAAACAGCCTCATCACAGGTTTCCAGCAGCTGCCTTATTGCTAAATAGTTCAAATGGCCATATATAATCATTATGTTGTGAAGATGTGCACGTTTGACTTCTTGTCAACAGGAAACTTGTTTATAATGTACTGTAACTTTCATATGGCAGACAGAGTTAGGTTGCATGGCGGTTAAATGCTGAGCTCTGACTGGATGGTGAAGTGAGACTCCACAGTGCACGGTTAGTAACATGCACAGCATCGAACATGAGATGCATCGAAATCCAACAACAGTCAACGGCGTCAGTGAGCGCAGCAGCAAACTGCAGCATGGCCCCCAGTGCCAGGTTTGCGTTCACGTTTTGTGCACGTGCTAAATATTCATGGATGCAAACAATAAAAGTTCCAGTTAATCTCACACTGGGGACGTGAGGTTGGTGGGTGGACTAACCCGCGCTCCCCTCTTGTCCTCAGGAGACGGAGACAGTGAAGTGAACGTTGAGACAGAGTGTGGGATGGCGGTAGAGGAGAAGCCAGGTGTGAAGAGCAGCAGCTCCATCGTCCCCTGCTTCCTGTTTGTGGAGGTAAGAAACACAAACACGCTGTTTGTTGCTTGTGTCCATGAACAACACTGACAAACCCGACACCAGCGTCACTGTTTGCATTTCTTACCTAGGACACAAACCTAATACCTAACCCTGTTCACACATTCAGCGTCACTGTTTGCATTTCTTACCTACGACACAAACCTAACCCTGTTCACACATATGGGTTGATGACACTATGACAAACCTGAGAGCGGACAGCAGCTCCTCACCACACAGATTCTGCACGAGTCTGCTGCTGTTGCTCTGGCCTTCCACGCTGCCTCTTGGTTTCTCTCTGCTGACACCTGTGCTGTCAGTGAGGAGGAACCTTTGACCTTTATTTAACCCTCCTGACTTCATGCCCTTTCCTCTCCTCATGTTCCAGTCCTGGGGGAGGCTGAGGTTGTGTAAAGTGGCTCCAGCTGTTCTGTGGCATGCGGAGCGTTTTCCTTTGTATTTGTATACCACAGGACTCATCGAGGTGCTTGTGGATGTCACAGCACGGGCACAGGAGCAGGGTTGTGCTGTGTGGTTCAGGTCACACCAGAGGTCAATGTCTGTGGCACACACACATGCAGCTCCATCCCCTGGTGAAATCATGTGAAAGCAGGCAGACGGATGATTTGGAGGGTGGCGGAGCCCCACAGCCTTCACCCCACTGTAACTGACGTGGAGGAAGGCAGGAAGTGGTGAGGTAACCTGTAATCTGGTTGATAACAGCAGATGGAGCAGCCCAGGCCTTCAGAGCACTGACCTGGAGCAGACTCAGCTGCTGGTGCTGCATCAGTCCATCGCAGGTGAAGTGCTGATGGGATGCAGATGTTGCTCCATGATGGGTTTACATGCTTCCTGTTGACAAGGCATGAGCAGGGCAGACTGTGCTTTATGTATTTGGCATTTCTTCCTTAGCTACGCTGTGATCCCATTGCATCAATGAATCAGCGGCTTCACAGTTGAGAGCAGTGCTGTGCCTGAGCTTAGTCTACGTTCAGATCAGAGCTGCAGTTTTACATCTGTCACACACAGAACCAGCGGGGAGAAAGCTACTGCTGACGCTGAAGGAAAACGAACACACTCGCTGTTTAGTGAGAAACTTAGGCCTGTGACTAGTTTCACAACGAATTTGTTTTGTAACTAATTTGTCATCGCTATGGGAGGGTGGTGACATGATGATGGGCAGGTCGCAGTGTCAGATACTGGAAACCCCAGACCAACAGACATCTGCCGTCTTATTCAGTAGTTCCTGCTTGTGCTGTAGAAAGAAAGAACCTGAGCTGAGCAGCTTTACCTGAACCCCTCAGCACGTCCTCCTTGCCCACCTGCAGAGCTGTACCCCTGTGCCTGCCTGGCCCCAGAGCAGGGGACAGGTTACCATAGTTACACTACCCCCCTAAGCTCCATCTTCATGTGCGGTTACTGTGGTTACAGCTGTCTCCATCTTTGTCTACAGTTACCATGGGCTACAGATGAAGATAGGATGTCAGATAACATAAATTCAGGTGTAGATGTGGAGGATGTGGTCGACTGCCCACATCCATCCTGACTTATTCCTTTTGATAAAAAAAAACATGGTTTTGTTTTCAGATGTTATTCTTTTAGTTTCTTCTGGCCACAAGCCAGCCTCTTTAAGCATTACCAGTTCACAGAGGCGCTCCGGCGCTGCAGCAGGAGCTGTAGTGCTCTCACTGGAGCAGACTGATCATCATCATTATTCATTAAGGGAACCAGTCATTGGTTTTGCTGTTTTCTCGGAGTCACATGGAACAGAGCCTGACTGAGCTGGCACGAGGATCAGGGCTACGCTACCACCGGGCTAATGCAGGCGGACTGGCCACGTTTCAGCTACAGGCACAGAAACACAAACTGGAACATGGTGTTGTGTCCTCCACCAGTGCAGCCAGCAGGCTCAGCTGTTCTGGACAGACCTGTTCATGACTTCCACTTGCACAGACACTCAGGACGCACCTCTGTTCCTGGCTTGTTGTTGCTATAAGAAACAGCAGCGGCTTGGGCTTGTGATGGCTGAGTCTGTGCAGCCTGTTCGTTTAGGACCTCCTGCCTAATGTCACAGGAAACGGCCGCAGTTCGCAGTGCTGGATTACAACCATGGCATCTCAAATATCTTGTTTTCTACTTTCGTCTTTGAGCATGTCACTGTCTAGTTGAAGGACACAATCAGTATCTAAGGAGGGAAAACTGAATTATGCTTGTACATGTAAGATCATGAAAATCTGTGGTCAATCCATGTTGATAACTGTTAACCTTCAGGCCGCTCTCCGGTCCGTGGCAGGAGGACGTGGGAGGGGGCACACAGACTCAAAGCAGCTTCAACCAGCAAACGCCGAATGTGAAACATTTGCTTGAAAAAGAAACAATCACTGATCAAATCGTTGCAGATTTTCTTTAAATGTACTGAACAATGAATCGTTCAAATGTTGCAGCTCTAAATAGAAAACAAATTTAGCTGAGGCATTTCTATTCGGCATCAGGTGTGTTGGACACACGAGGAATGTGACTGTGGTACATCGGCTCTCAGTGTGCACGTACAATGTCCTTATGGAAGGTGATAACAGAGGGCAAGTAAACAATATAAGGCCCAGAACAGAAGAGAAAGAAGTGATGTGCAAATTCAATTCAAATAGAGCAAACAGAACGCAATGAGATTAAAACAACAACAATCAGGTGACATTTAATGGATGAATCCATATCCAGGTGCCAATCACACCAGTTTAACTGTATCAGTAGGAACTGTTGCCCTGTACTCCTGGAAAGTGCCAAGAAATGTGATGAAACGATAATAAAGCTACAGCCGATGTTGTCTGGTCTGGTTTTCCATAATTCTTTGTCTGTAAAACAGGTTACGCTTCATTCTACAGTGTGTGGTGTTGATGAGGTCATAAAAAGGCTTAAATTTACTCCAGTGACCTGCAGAAACCACGACAGACTGTCCGAGGCTGGGGATTAAAGTCATGTCACACGGGCATGAAACGCACAAATTTGCCTTTAGATGAGAAGATACACATAGTGACAAAAGACAGGAGAGTCTGATCAATCAGATGATCATTGTCTTGATCATCTGATTGATCTTTTTATTCCCCAAATGTCAAACACTGGGAGAAAGTCCCACTGTGACTCTCCAGAGTCAAAGGTGGCGTCTTCACGTCTTGTCGTGCCCACTATAAACTGTGTGTAGCTTCAGCCAGCAGCCCGTTAGCTCAGCTGGAAGAAGGGGAAACCGCGACACAAATACATGTGAGAAAGCCAATGCGTTCCCTAAAACGTCAAACTGCTCCTTTAAATTCAGAGAGCTGAGCAGCTGAGCTGATTTCCCGCCGGCGTGACAGTGATCCACGCAGACCTGCTCCGTTATTTAGCCCCACACCTCCTCAGCAGTTGCCATGGAAACCAATCAGCCTGACTCTTTCTCCATCTCCGCTGTCTTTCTCCTGCCTCCTCTTGTCCTCCCTGACCTAATCACAAGTCAACACCTTTTCTGTCAGTGCTTCCCTCTCAGCCATCTTGTTCTGCGTGCCTCCTCTGCTCCCTCCATTTTGCTCCGTCATCTCCCATTTTTCAGAGTGAAGCCCTGCCAGGGCCGAGCTGTTCTCACTCAGATCAGAGCAGATTTTCCCACAGCCGTTCACAGCCTCACAGATCTGATGAATTATTGACCGTTTTCACCTGGAGACCACATATTTTATTTGTGATGTAAACAAGCGTGTGATAACTTGGAGACACTGCTGTAAACAACAAACATAAACCTTCCAAAGTCAAGGCAACCACTATAAAATGTGATATTAGTGAAGGACCAGTGAATTCAGTGGGTGTAACTGTTTCGGTCCCACATATTGGAGCCAGCTCCGTGTGGTTGGGGACTGAGTGTCGGCTGCAGGTGGACTGGTTGTTGAGCCTGACAGCGCTGAGCAGCAGACTGAACCGATAGTGACTGAATGATGCACGAGCATGAATCTTACTGTCCGTGTGCAGCTGCAGCACAGCCCCCGGCGAGGAGCAGAGTCAGACAGGACAGGGTTAATGCATCGCCCATGAGCCAGTGTGCACAGTGTGCATGGGTCAGTCTGATGCTGCAGGACTGCACTTTGTCAGTCCAGTAGTACCACAGGGTAGTTAGGAGCCACAGTGCTTACACACTGGTTTTAGCCTTTGTTGCACCAGCAGTTTGAAGCTGTTTTGTTGCTGCACTGAGTGAAATAAAATCAGTTCTGTTCTTTAACAAGCTACTTAAACAGATTTAATAAGGGATTCAGATCTGATTAAATCCTGTCCCAATGTACTGTGTTTGCACGTCCTGGATCCAACTCTCTCCACCCTTAACAACTGCATTAGTTCTCCACCATCTGGGGACACAGCTTCAGAGTAGCTGCTCTCAGAGCTAATCTGCTGTGTGCCTGAGTGAAGAGCTGTAAGGGAGAGGGCAGCTTTCTGCTGTGGGCAGCCTCTGATTAGACACTCACCCAGACCAGTGGAGGGGTGAATGGGAAGCCCCTCTCTCAGACTGGGAGCTGTTCACTGTGACCTCTGACCTTTATTCAGACGTGTCCCTGCAGCTCCACCCCAGGGCCTTTTTATACCCTTTATCATTTAGGACATTTGGGATTTTTATCAGCAGGTTCGTTTGGCCTAATGATCTTACCACATTATGGACCGTATGAGAACGACTGAACACTGACAGTAGTGGGATTACGTTTTTTTTACTTTCTTTTTTCCCACATTCCTTTACTTGTCTGCACATTTGTTTTCTTGTTTCCTCACTGCCTTATGGAAGCACATTGCACGTGCATGCTGAGAGCTACTGTACCCGAGTCAAACTTCTCGTGGCCCAGAAAGCTGATTCTGACTCTGAGGTTCCTCAAATGTTAGTGTTAGTCTTAGTTGGACTGTTTTAACCATCAGGATGGAGTGACCTCTGCTGCCCCTCTGAGCTCTTTTGTCCTGCACATGTGCATTTGTATAAAGCAGATTAGACTCCTGGTTGC